CTAAATGAAGAGCTTTCTGGACGGAAGAAGCGCAAGAGGAAGCTACTGAAGGCTGAAGGACCAATATCTGTGGCTCAAGGGCAAGAAATGATCGATGATGAGGAGCTATATGCGCAATGGCAGACCGAATTGGTCGAAGATGTCCTCATGGAGGCCCCCGGCGCCAAGAAGAAAAGGCGATGTGGCAAATGTGGTACCTTAGGACGCAACGCCAGGATGTGCTAGCAGGATTCTTCAGGTGATCAGCTTCAAAATGAGCCGGAGACCATTCAAATTGAGTAAGAATTGATGGTTCTATGATGAATTGGGATAGGATGATGGTGTTGAGTGGGTCATACCCTGAGGGCGGGTCATACACTGATAGGAACGGTTAATGTACTATGCAGACGGAATTGCGGCGAGTGGAGTCATTTCGGTCGGCAGAACAACCGTCTGGGCGAGGAAGTGGTCAACGCCGTCCCGGAGCGCTTCGTTCTCGTAGGACACGTAGGAGCGCTCTAGGAAGCCCGAATCTGCTAGGAACGAGTCTCCGGGCAGACTTGTGCCTTCACCATCCGTGATTGTGAGGAACGGATGAGAGGCTGGGGTCCGGGCAGGTTCAATATCCCGTTCCGACTCCTCCTCACGTCCTCGACGGCCACTGTGACCCACGCATCCTTCGGCACGCAGGGGCCGCGACACCGCCGGGGCGAAGGCGGCCGTCAAGTCTCGGTCAGTCCAGCTTAAGCTCGAGCTCGTCGGGGCGCGGGTGAGGATGGCTGGCGGCTCGGCCGAGGCGGCGCCCAACCGGCCGTCAGCTCGTCCGGGCTCCAGGCCCAGTTTGCAGCCTTTGGCGCGCCGGCAAACAGGAGAAGCGCAGCGTCCGTGGGCCGTGTTTGCACCCGGTGCCGTCGGGGTCGGAGTAGGTCGGCGTCGGCGCGCGGCCTTGGCGCCGTTAACCCCGAGCAGGCTGCCGGATGCGGGTCTGCCAGGCCCGAGCGACGGCGGCGACGCGCGCAGGCGGCGACGGCCGCGGAGGTCCCCGCCGGCGCTGATAAATAGCGGGCGCCCGGATTCCGGGCTCGGCGCGCTGCAGGTCGAAGTCGAAGTCGAGTCCGGCACGCGTCGACGGACTTGCCGCTGCCAACACCCGGAGCGTGGGCGCCCAGACCTCGCAGAAAGCTTGCGCCCGCCGATCACGCTTGGCAGGCTGCCGGCGATTATCGCCCCATCAGATAAAACCATGGCGCCTGCCCGCGACTCTCGCCCGCCGGCTGCCCACTCCACCCTCTCCCCGCGGCCCTTCAGGATGGCCTCATCGATCAAGGGCCTCTTTGGCAAGCTCAGCCTCGGTGGCGGCGAGAGCGCCCGCGAGAACGGCTTCAGCAGGGCCGGCAGGGACCAGCTGTTTCCCCAGACCGACCCAGCCGTCGACGGCGACGGGTGTCTACACGACTGCGAGTCGTGCACTATCAAGTACCCGCGCCGCTTCACCATCGACACGAGCGACCAGATCTACGGGAACATCAAGGGATGGGAGACGCATCTGATCGTCGCGACCGGCAAGACGGACTGGGTGCGTCCTCGTCACGTGGCCTTTCGACGCCTGGATCTCGCATGCTGACCGAGTCGAACTTAATTTTGCTGTCTAGGTCCGCGATGTCGCCGACGAGAAGGGCAGCATCATGGAAGCGGTCGACCGGAGCCGCGTTCAACCCACCAACGGCGTAGGTTGCTTCTACGCCCGCCCCACTTGGGTTTCGCGGGCGTATACTGACGGTCGCGCCAGAAGCTCAAACTCTCCGCGTCCGACATGCCCCTGCCGCACGAACTCCACTCCACCTCCGTCTCCACCAGCCAGTCCCAAAGGCCCCCGACTACCGTTCTCCTCCTTCCCGCCTTCGTCCTCGTCGACAACGTCGTCCCCGCCAACGTCCCAGATCTCATCGCCACTTACGTGAACGCGTGCCCGACCAACACCTCGCCCTTGCCCGCCTCCCCACCCCTCACGCGCACCACCTCGCGCTCTCCGCCCGCGCCCGCCTCGCCACCGTCGCTGCCCCCGTCCCTGTCGACCCCGCAGCTGACGTCGCGGCCGTGCCCCCACGCCGCCCTCATCCTGCTCTGCAGCCACAAGACGCGCGACGCGCGCTGCGGGCAGTCGGCGCCCCTGCTGCGGCGCGAGTTCGAGCGCCACCTGCGCCCGCTCGGGCTGGCGCGCGACCTGCACGACGAGCGGGCCGGCGGCGTCGGCATCTACTTCATCAACCACGTCGGCGGCCACAAGTACTCGGCGAACGTGCTGTTGTATAGGAGGGCAGGCGCGTTTGGAGACGGCGGGCCGCCGACGAAAGCGGCGGACGGGGGCGAGAAGCCGAATGGTGAGGCGGCGGACGGCGAGGCGGCGGACGGCGAGGCGGAGAAGCCGACGGAGCCGGGAGAGGCCATGCAGTGCATTTGGCTGGCGAGAGTGCGGCCGGAGGACTGCGAGAATATCGTGCGGTACACCATCCTAAAGGGAAAGGTAGTGAAGCCGGATAGGCAACTGAGGGGGGGCTTTGATCGGTGCAAGCAGCTGGTGAGCTGGTAGCGTTGCAAGCGGTCCGAAATGGAAGTCCATGGCAAGTAAGCAGTCGTTTGCAATATTTACAGCATAGCGCGCTAGAGTCGTGTAGAAAATTAATCATGTCTTTTTCTTATTCCATGGAACGCGCCACGTACGTGGTCAATGCCTTCTAGCCCAGCCTTCGACGCCCACACGTGATGCCCCTGTTTCCTTCGCAATCCCAGACCGTGTTCGCCAGCCCCGACCTACGTCATCCTCACAGCACCGTCCCAAATCCGAAAGTCGTCTTGATGCTCCGCACATAATAGTCGCCCCAGTTCCGCTTCGTCGGCTCCTCCTGCCCCACCGGAACGCCCTCCCACTTCACTTTCATCACCGTCACCGCATCCACGTTGTTCTGGTCGAAGTCGATGCTCAAGGTGCTGAAATGCCCCGCCGGCCACTGCGCTAGCCGCCACTTCTGCACGACGCGCTTCCCTTCTTCTAGCTCCACGAACTCGCCCACCACGTTTCCGCCAAAGAGCTCGAACTTGCCACCCACTTTCGCGCCCTCCCATACCTTGGGTGGGGCGCGCGTGAACGCTGCGACGCGCTCCGGCGTCGTGAAGGTGGCGTAGAGCTCCTCGGCCGTCGTGCGGAACTCCTCCTCGTCCGTCAGCGTCGTCACGTTGACCGCCGGGCCGCCAGGGGCGGCTTGCGCCGTGCCGGACCCCTTGGACGCCTCGGACGACTTCGGAATCGACGTGTTCGAGAGGACTTTCGGGGTTGAGAATCCCGAAGAAGGATTCGAGCCTGGCGCGTGCTGGATGTCCTTGCCGTGTTCGGCGATGAGGGCGGGGCCGAGCTGGGCCAGGTGTTTGCGCAACTGCGGGACGATGGCGCTGCGCACGAGGTCCTTGACGGCTTGCTTCGAGGCCGAGTCGCCG